AGCCACCTGCGGCTCTTGCTACATTTAAAAGGCAGAAGAGCAGTGGGGACACAAGCAGTCCCTGCTTGCCTAGGGTTCCGCCTCTCCCTTTGAAAGGAGCTCCTGCTGCATTTCAAAGGGAGAGAACCGGACCAGTGCAAGTGGGGACTGCTTTAATGCCCGCTTTCACTGTTCCCCTTTGCGCCTGTACTTCCCCTGCCCCTTCCATGGAGATGGCACTGGGGAGAACCTGCTTTTAAACCGGCTCTCCCCAGAACCAGCTCCTGATTCCCCCCTTGCTGCCTCTCTCTGATAGACCACACTACTTGACTACACAATAAGCATATGCTTATCAGGTAGTCGACTAGTCAACTAGTCGCGTACATACCTAGAGATGGCTGTGTACTCCTGCCTCAAATTTTCTCTGTAACTACAAAGGAATCAGCTCTTGAACATTAGTTCGAAGTTCTGAGGTTCCAGGTTCCCACATTCCACACTTGGTTGCATAATTTAATGTATTTGGCTATCTTGCTAAGGTGCTATATGAGTTAGAAAAGCTAATTTTAGTTAAAGGATGGTTGACGGTGAATATTCACTATTTGGTTTGTTCTGATAGATACTTGTTAGACAATAACTCTACAAAAAGAATACATTAGATCTAAGAATGCTTTACATTTAGAAACCTTTGTGGTTTCCTTTTCTGGAATTTGTAGAACATCTAAAAAAGTTTACTCATCACTGTTCAAAATATGCATGGGGCATATCAAAATATAATTCAAATGCACATTTTGTCTTCACAAGTAATGCAATTTTAGAAGTGACACTGTGACACTGCAGGCATAATCTTTCCTTGTAATGAACAGAGATGACAAGTTTGGATATGAACAGTCCAAAAGTTTGGGGATTTCCAGTGTCTGTTTCAATTAATTTCATTCAACTTAGCATAAGAATTCTCAAAAAGAAAATCAATATTTTTGTCTAGGACCATAAGTCCATACTAATCTTGACAATAGTAGTTTGTCTCAATGTTTAGTGACACCCTCAACACATTCAGTTGTCACACATTAGCATGTCCTGTTTCTATCAGTATATTTAATATATTGCACAAGAGTGGACATTTCTCCAAGTCCCAAATGTACAGCTTGTAGTAATTTGCTATTTGGAAATGGCTATCTGCTTTCTAGGCATCATAGTGCCCAAAATATGCTTGAGCCAGCCTGAAGGGAAATTTCTCTTTTGGGCTTTGCAAACAAGCCCGTTTCCTTTAATGAGTTCCTGGTGACTTCTAAGGCTGAGATTTTCAAAACAGCCTAAGTGCTGTTTCATGTGCCCTCAGTGTCTAAGGCTCTTTTGAAAATCCTGCCCTAAAATACAGACAGCTAATTGCATACATTCAGATCATGTGGACGAACTGGCAGATAAACTATGGGGTCAGAATTAATTTGGGTCTAATCTAGGTTCTATTAGGTGCATCAACAGGTTTATGTAAACTTTAGGAAGGTTTATTCTTTTGGGGACTTTGGATCAAAAGAAAGGACTTCAACGGGCCTTGGATCAGTCCACTATCTGTTACTTGCCTACAGTGAAATGGTCTTGTGCAGTGGCAGATC